ATCTCTGTTTTTCTCTATTTTGCTTTTGCATCTTTCCCTCTTTATCTCTCTCCTTTTCCACTTCTCAGCTGTAATTGCATGGTCCTATCAGTGTCAGCTTCACTATAGCAATGGCATCTGGAGCAGAGCAGTGTGTGTGTGTGATTTTGTGCTTCTATCTGTGCTTTAAGTTTCTGGAGTAGTTCACACTTCTTTTATTTAGTTTCAGAGGCAGATATATAGTTTATTGTATTGTAAATTTTAAAAGTAATAGACAAAATAGTCCAGCAGCCAATACAACTGTCAGCCTCTTCCATGTATTTTACACTGTGCGTCAAAACTAGAAGAGGAGCTTGCATGTCCAGATTAAACAAACCATAGCAACATTGTCTATGCAGCTGAAAAGAACAGGGTTTTTAGGAAATGTGGTTTGAACCTTTGAGAAAACCTGCCGTGATGTATCTCATTGATTTATCCCAGAAGCTTTCTCATATCAAAGGCACGCTGAGTGTTGTGCTGCAGCATGAGATTAATTACAATGACAGATGCAAACAGATGAATGAGAAAGCCAGTTAACAGCCTCTCTTCTTCACTGCAGGTCATATCTTCTCTCTTTCTGTTTTGTTTCAGAACGAATTTAATGTTCATTTTACTGAAACAGTTGACAGTCGATGTGGTGCCACGTCTTCCTAATGACACTGTGTGTCTCTGTTGCAGAACTCCCAGAAGAAAAGAGGAGCAAGACCCAACAACAAACCTGACAAGGACAAGAAACCTGGCCTACAGGTAAAACACACGCACAAACACACTCAGACACAACTATGTTTACCCCTTGACAGTCCAGCAAATTAGTAAGACAAAGTACTATTTCAGCAACTAAACCTTAAAGACACTTAAACCCGGTACACAAAAACAATGCCATGAAGGATTATAGGAATACATACTGATATCATGATTAACAAATAGCTGAGTGTGTTGAGTCACTGCAGAACATGATTGAAATAATGTAGGAATAGAGAAGGATATAGAGAGAAGGGATTAGGGAAGAGAAAAATAGAGAAAAGGAAATTAAAACTAATGAGAAAGGTGAGTAAATAAATATACAGTGTTTACATTAGGAGCTTTACAGTATCTAACATAGCAACCATTTCCTAATCTAAGAACTAAGGTATAGAACTAAAACATTTAGTTTTGTTAAAAATTAATATAGAACAGTTATAATTTACTTTGTGTCTATTTAAAACTTATTAATTTTATATCAAAAAGGAACTGTAAAATGACCTGTTATTTATGGCCAATACCTGTTTATGACAATCTGCTAAATATGAATGTTGATTTTGCTTTTGACATCTGTTGGTCTTTTTATATTCAAAAATCATGCCCAGAAGCAGAATCAGGATTTGAACTGGACAAAATCAGCATAATCAGATCCAATAAAATCTAAATGATGAATGGCAAAGAAATGTACTTATTTTCATTGTCGACAAATCTTCATTTGTATGGGGCGGGCAGGAAGGTGAAAACATTATTGGCATGTCAGTTAACACTAGAGCAACCCTGCTGCTTCTCTAAATTAACGAACTAATCTACGTACACTTTCAATTATCACCTATTTTGCTGAATTCCCCTGAAAACACTTGTTTAGTTCATTTAGTTTTTGTTTCAAACAAAAAATGAGTTCATTGTAGATGTGTTCAGGTCATCTGGACACTGATCAACAACTCTGTTAGAAAGCTTACATTTGACCCTTAAAGTGTGTTTCTGCCTCACAGTTCATGACTGCGCTGTCTGTGTCTCTCTCTGTTTTATTTCCTCCGGGGATCACACTCTATCTGTCCAACAAGCCGCTTGTGGTTTGAAGCAGATAGATCAGCAGATCCTGTCTCATGTGTTCATCATCCCTCCCTATTTTTTTTTATTTTTGTCCTCTATGTTGTCCTGTGGGTACTCGTCCTGTACTTATTGCAATCTTAGCGTTACATTTCTGATTGGATTACAGATAAGGTCAACATCACACTTTATGTCTCCACCATCTCTTCTTTCTGCTTTTATTCTTTCAACGGAACCCACAAATGAACAACTTCTTCCTCAACTTCACTTTTCAGACTCTTCCTAAAATTGTTCAAACGCTGCAGAAATAACTTGTTTCCTTCTGTGAAGAGGTGCTACAGGAGTTATAAGAGTTCAGGTTTTTACAGAACAGAGTACACACATATAGCTTAAAAGCCTAGAGGAGTGAGTTGTTTGTGATTAAGGTGATTCTCTCACCACCATCGCTCTGCTGCTAAATCAAGCCTAGTCTTCCTCTCCAAGCCACATGCCATAAATGGCTGTAAATTCATCGGCCATCGTCTCATTTAATGTGGTTGGAAATGCTCCACAGGCTGTAAAACTGCTGCTTCTGAGGAATGGCTGCACATGATCACCTCAGGCCAGTGGGAGTTACAACTCAGTCTGAGATGTGTTTGAGGGAGAAATACACATACATAAATAGCATTTCTTTCTCTTTTTTTAAAATATATTATATGTTGAAATATTATATTTATGTAAACGTTTTTGGCCACTATGGGGCTGAAACACCACAAGCTGACATTATATCATATATGACTAAAGTTGTTTCTTGGAAATGTGTTAGCAAGCAGCTGCCTATATTTACAAGTTGACATGATTCACTGAGGAACATGTTTTTGCCATCTTGATTCTGTAATTAGTCTAATGTGCACCATCAAAAGCATCTTGTCTCTGTTTACCTCAGGCTGTAGCACTAAAGGATTATTTTTATTTTCACTTTTTATTAAATGAAATTCTTAAAAGATTAATTGGATATCCAAATGATCAAAGTGCCAACAGTAGTTACAGGTCAACAGCACTTTGTGTAACTCTAGCTCTGTGTGCATGCCCCTCTGTGATACTGTGTCAATGTCGCATCAGCACTCTGTCCTCATTCTGTGCTATCACTGCAGGAGGACAATTCAGACTTAAAGTGTCAGCTCCACTTTGCCAAAGAGGAATCAGCCCTGATGTGCAAGAAGCTGACCAAGCTGGTGAAGGACAGCGAGGCCATGAAGGAGGAGCTGGCTAAGTACAGGTCGCTGTACGGAGACGTTGACGCCTCACTGACCGTGGAGGAGGTGAGGGGACGGCAAGGACCTCAAGACCTGGAAATTTGCTGTGTAGCCATTTTATATAGGAGCAAAAAAAAATTGTCAGATTAAAATTTTTCATTGTCAGAAAGTGAAGTTAGTATGGACAAATTATTAAAATGATTAGTTAGTTAGTGAATGAAGCCATGAAACAGGAGGTGGCCAGATACTGTTTACAGTGTAAAACGATCATGTTATTGATGATCCATATCTGGTCATGCTGAAAATATTGTATTACTAATTAATAATAACTACTAATTAATATGATAGTTTGTCTTTTCCAACTATGAATGGAGTGATGAAAAATTTGGACAAAAAGATTTGAGGCAGTTATAAGCAATTAAATGATTCACCCTAATGGTCAAACAGTTGATTAAAAGTGTGTAAATGAACAGGTGGGAGATGAATAATGAACTGGTTTTTCTCCTCCACCAGGTTGCCGACTCGCCTCACACCCGCGAGGCCGAGATCAGAGTTCATCTGAAGCTGGTGGAGGAAGAGGCCAACCTGCTGAGTCGACGCATTGTGGAGCTGGAGGTGGAGAACAGGGGGCTCCGAGCTGAGATGGACGACATGAAGGGGCCTCAAGGTAGTTGTTAAACTCATCTCATTGGTCAGGTTAAACATGATTTGTTTGTCAGATGTGAAGATGTGAGTGGTCTTAAATCAACAGGTAGCATTAACTAATTAAAAAATCTTGTTCTGCAACAAGTGCTACTAAGATGTACTTTAAGTGTAAAAATGGTTGAAACTGGCATTATTTAGACTGTATTAGTGTTAGCTAGGCGTACCTAATAAACTGGCAACTGAGTATATGTCTTGCATTCCTTGCAATTATTGTTTCATACACTTTCATTTCTTCCTGTGTTGCTTCCTCAATTACTTGGCCTCTTTTTGTATCAATTTTCTTAGACGAGCCTCAAGAACTTAATGGTGTTGGTGGCGGTCTGGGGGCTGGTCTTGGCCTTGCAGGAGGGGCCATAGTGCTCGGTGGTGGGGCTTCATCTGAAAACATCATGGAGCTGCAGCGACACCTCCAGTTTGTGGAGGAAGAGGCGGAGCTACTGAGGAGGTCTTTAATCGAGATGGAGGAACAGAACAAGCTCTTGATGAACGAGATCAACCGCTATAAATCTGAATTCCCACCACCAACGTCCACGCTGTCGTCCAACTCATTAACGTCACTCACAGATGGGTTGCTCAACGACAGCCCTGTTCACACTATCCAGGAAGGGGCGGTGCTTATCAGCATGGACGGCCCCGCCCAGGAAGAGGAGCTCAGACTTGCGAGGCTTCAGATTGGAGATCTGAGTGGAAAAGTGAAGAAGCTGCAGTACGAGAACAGAGTGCTCTTGTCCAACCTGCAGCGATGTGACCTGGCTTCCTATCACGCTCCTTCCTCCTTGTCCTCCTCCTCACTACGACTCTCTCTGGAGACTGACGCAGAGGCTGGAGACTCAGCTGAGTGTCTCCCCACCAGGTAGTCTCATATTATCAACTATTCAATTCACATTACATCATTTTTGGGTGAAACTGTGGTTTTACAGTATGATTCTTTCCCTTTACTGCATCTGCGTTTCTGTCACTTGCATCTTTTCCTTGTGCCTTAGTCCCTCCTATGTAAGATGCAAGGAAAAGATGGGAGGGGAGAGGAATAGAGGAAACACAGTATTGCTCAAGCTTGATGAATATACTAGCACTACAGTCTTGAAAAGTAACCCATGCTATTGTTTATCAGCCGTGAACTACTTTGGGACTGAAAGTTAATTTTTGACCTTGGAAACAGAGCTTGAGGAAAAAATGTCATCTTGAGATTCATAGAAGTTGTCGTAGCTTTCAGTGTCACAACCTTGAATTATAGATGTTCAAATTTGAATTTTTATGAGCACTTTGGCATCAAGAATCAACTCTTAATTCAGCATGGATAAGAAGCCCTCAAAGTGCTCTTTATTGTTCCCTCAGCCTGCCCCACCGCAAAGAGCCAGTAGGGGGTGAGAATGACGCCCTGGACATTAAGGAACGAAAAAAGAGGATAGAAGACAGTGGTGATGCAACACCTACACTCCCAGTGTGCCTGGGACAGAAGGACCATGATGCCTTGTTGGCCATGAGGGACCAGGCTCGCTTGGTTTCCACAGCAATACAGCTACTGACCTCCCCAGAGTCCAACTGCCTCTCCTCCTCCTCCTCTCCATCCATCTATCACAAGGTCTGCACCAACGAAGCAGCAGAACTGTGTGACCTAGAGAAAGCTCAGCCTCACAGTCAGGTACATGTCCTCTGTTTGCTGTGGTGTTCTTACTCATTACCATCAAGCACTGTAGCTCAGCCCAACCATTCTTCCTGACAAATGTGGTACATTTTGTTATTTCTTTTTTCTACAGATTTCAGAGCTGGCAGATCTAGCAGATCGACCTCTGGTCGGTGCTTTGACCAGCAGGCTTCAGGCACTACACACCCAGCTGCAGGCCTTTGTAGAGCAGGTAGACAGCCTGGGGAAACCGCCAGTAGGTACAAGGGACCTTGATGTGGAGGGAGTGTCTCCACTGGACTCATCCTTTACCACGTTGTCCTGCTCTGGAGATGACCAGGACACGCTGAATACTGCTGAGGCAAAGGTAAAAGACAAGTAACACACTTTTTCTTCTCGCCCCTTATCACTCTTTCTTTCATTTACTATCAACCTTTTTTGAAAGTTTTTACTTTTGTTGGGTTTCTATTTTCTACTGTCACTGTTTTCTTTTTTTATACTTCAGTTTTGTGCTTGTTTCAGTGCCTAACCATTACTTTGGTTGACTAACACTTCCAGTCCCATTTAAACATGCTGCTTTAGTTTCTCCTCGCAGTGAAGAATGGATTTACACACCACGCTCAAATCTGATGCATGACAACCAATAATAAAAAACAACTTTTTTTGTCTATCCTGTTCTTGTACTAGATGAACCTGAAACACAGTAGAAAAAGAAATTCAATGTAACAGATGGAGTCAGATTTGAGCTTCCAGTGTAAACCTCTCCACATGATGCCACCCATGACCTCTTCATGCTGTTAAATTGCCTCCTAACCTGGTATTTAATTGATGCTTTAGGCCTCAAATGGAGCCTGTTTGTTGCATGGACATAGTGAGGCTATTAACAGCACATAGAACGTTATTTATTTATATGTATTTTCATCAGCAGATCATAAAACCAATTCAACATACAGTCTGGTTTTAACTCTAGTGTGGTTATAGCTGCTCATATTTGCTGTCTGACTGAGTATGGCATCATAATTGAGGGCAATGGGACAGTTATGCAATGGGAAATAAGGGCAGTCCTTGTTCTGTGAAGTGGATTTTGTAGCATCACCTCTGTAGATAACAAGCAAATAATATAGTAAAAGTATGATCTACAGCTTTAAGAAGGTTTTTTTGATTCTGAATTAAAATGTGATAATTATTAAGGATTTTTAGGTGCAGAATTTAAATCTAACTTTTAAAAGAGCTGATTGGCTCTAGTTTTTAAGATATTTGTCCATTTACATTTTATGCTGATGTGCAGAAAACTGACTGACAAATAAAGATAATGACACCTTTTGACTTCAAGAAAAAATACGGGCTGATGTACAGTATACGACAAAGACCCTGATGTCTTGAGTCTAAATGAAAAATGTGTGGCTTGAGACAATACCAGCCTAATGTTTCACCTAAGAAACTTGTTGTATCGGAACAGTTTTGGTCACATTTATTAGAAAATTAAGTGAAAGGGAAACAAACAAACAAAAAACAATCTCTGTTAATGTAATATTGCTAGAAATAGAAGACTACAAAATGACAGAAACAGAAGTCTGAAAAAGGTCACACGATCCTTTAGTTGTTATCTGTCATTAGTGTGTAAAGAAAAAAAAACTACTCTATGTATAAAAAGGTCAGAAACTTACCTGAGATTATGAGTGAGAGAGTTTCCCCAGCAGATTTCTGGAAGCAGCAGATGAGACAATGAGCTCGCCCTAAATAGATTTCCAGTCACACTCCATAAATCACATTTTCTGTTGAAATGCTCCAGTGGGAAATTCTTGGGTTACAGGTGATTGTCAGTGATTTATGATTTACTCCAAATATCTACTGTATTTTCAAGTATACGGTGGTCCACAAAGCTATCAAAGTATATTGGAGTCAGCTGAGACTTTGAAGTTCTCCCACTGGCTTATTTTTCTACAGTATTACAAATGGCATGTTTTCCCCTTGCCTTCGACTGTCGGTAAGACGATTAACAAAACATAAAATTTAACGATAATGGGAATCATTTGTCTTTAGTAAATGAGGTCGTAGTGGAATATTTTTCAGTTCTGTCACCTCGTGGGTAATTTTCTTTATTTGCATAAAAAGAACAACACTTTCAAGAGTAAACAACAAACTAAACTTAATTGTTAAAATGGAGATTTTAGCAATTTGCTGCACTGCCTTTACAGTAAAAGGGACATATTTCTCACAAGATCTGTGTATTCTGTTCTGAGCTAATCTAATTTGCCTGTTTGAAATGGTGATGAAATTATACATAGTTTTATAGTGAGTGAACTACACTGTTTAGACTCCATTAGAGGCCAGTTCTGAGTCCCAACACCCCTCCAATCTCTCCTCCCCTTTCCTTCCTCTCTCTCCTTCCCTCTTTCCTTCTGCACGGGCACCATAACCGCTGGTTTCTGCACTTCACTTCCTTCTAATTCCCTTTCCTTTCTTTTAAACCTGCTTTCTCCCACTCCTCATACCTCTGCATCATCATCATCTCTTTCACTGCTTCTCTGCTTCACCACTTTTTTCTGATTCCCTTCCTCCATTGCCCCTCTCCTCCCTGATCTTGCTTCTTTCATTGCCATCCCACCTGCACTTGTTTCTCCCTCGGCTCCTTGTTGTTTTCTCATACACTTCTCTCTGACATTCCATCCTAATCACCTTACTCCCTTTCTTGCCTTCCTGTTTGTCTTATTTGTCCTCCTTCCTCTCCCTGCCTCCCTTTTATTGTCATTCCTTCTTTGCTCCTTTCTTCCCATCTTTCCTTTCCTTTCCTTTCCTCCCCCCTCAGCCATTCATCCTGCCCTCTATTCTCATCTTCTGTCTATTCTCCACTCTCTCCTTCTCGTCTCTGACCAAACTCTTCTTCCTCTACATCCTTTTCTTTGTCTTGTGAGATACATAAATCATTTTTGTTATGTTTTTGTTTTTAAATTTTCTCAATGTTGGCACATAAATGAACACCATCATGGTTGTATTGTTTTTCTTATTGTTGTGTTTGTCCTATTTTCTATCATTCTCTCCTTCTTGTTTTTACTCCACAACTTCTTCTCCTCCCTTGCCCCCTCTATAATTTTTTTTTTGTTTATTTGTTGTTGTTGTTTTTCTTCATTAACTTGCCCATGCATGCATGCAGCAGCTTGATTATAGGGACCAATCAGAGCTGGAGGTGAAAGGTCAAACTGAAGAAAACTGCCAATCAGATAGCAACGAGGTACAAAAGCAGGAAGCCAGTCAGCTGGAACAGGAAGAGCAGGAGACAGATGATGCACTGGTAAGTCACTCAAATTCACAATCATTCATATTACGACAGAAACAGACATGCATACTAGAGATATTTCAGTCCTAGTCCATCTCAAGGCTGACTGCTAACAGACGTTTGCAGCAAGAACCTGACATGAGCCAGAAGCCAGTGTTTTAATGTCAAATATCTCACTGTCTCTTTACACACAGACAGACAAATGCTAAAGGTTTGGCTGGTCAGCCTAAAAATGTCTAAAGGGCAACAAACAAAAGATCCAGTCTGCTCATTTAACAGCTCATCCAATATGATGAAGTAACTAGCAAAACTGTCAGTAAGTGTTAAAGGGGCTGAATAATTTGACTACTTGTATGACTCACAGCGATGATAGACAATTATCACTGAACTCCACAGTTTCCCCTCAGCTCTGCAGTCTGTTTTAGTGTCTTTCAGTTCACTGTTTTGGTTTTCCAGCTCACAGGTTCAGTCTCGCTGCTGACATCAGAGTTGTTTTCAGGCTACAGCAAAAATCTTTAAAAACTCCAGACAGTAGAGAGATACTGTAACTAGCTGGGGAACATAGTGGCACATTTTCGGTTCTTATTCATCAGGTGCAAACAAACACAAGAAATATAAAAATGCATGATTGCTATATGTTCACCATATAAATTTTAAGATGATGAATTAAAAATATATATTTCCTAAGTTCTAATCATGTGCCTCTTGTGTCATATAGGTGAAAGCCTTTGTATTTTTGTATCAAAATGTAAACCATATATATATGTAATGGAATGAAAGTGAACTAACATTTAATCTTGATGTTAGTGAATCTGGAACTATGTTAATTATTCCCCTGAAAATCAGCATCTAATGCACATGCTGCTGTGTTTACTCACATCACCTCTTAATGAGCAAACACACATCGACAGGAAGCCCTGCAAAGGTCAGTCAGATGCTCATTTATGCACACATTTCCACACACATACTGTGGCTTGAAGTTACCGATGTGGTACAAAGCTAAACTCTTCTAACATTGTAAGCAAACAGTGACTTCACTGTCAGCTGTGGGACTGACAGGGAGAAGAGACCTTTGTTTGGTTGACCTTCTGGTGGTGTGTCTCTGTGGCAACCAGGGCTGTGTGTGTCTGTATCTTTAGCCAAGACTGAGAGGGTGAATGGAAAGGGAGACTAAAATAGAACATACTGTAAGAGACAGATAACAAGCGAGAGTCTGATATTACACAAACATAGTTGTATGTGTAGCACTGACGAACAGAGCTAAGTAGTGACCCAGTAACACAAACGGCCACTGTTGACATACATTCACTATTCAGCACACCGACTGTCTGCAGTATTCACTTGTAGAGTTTGTATTATAGCTCAACCAGTAGTTTTTCTGGGCCAAAGTCTATCCCCTTTGCTTTTGCTTATGCTTAGCAAATCTCGCAACCTTAGTGTGGCAACTAGCTTCAAAAAGCTGTTCACAGCCACTATGGCATTCTTACATTCGTATTTGTGTACAGATTATACTAAATAAAGTGTTAATTCAATTTAAAGTGTTAATAATAATACATGAGCATCAGTGTTTGACCTGCTGGGCCTGCCCACAGACTCTCACTTTAAGGTACATTACGATGATGCCAGAAAAATAAAACAAATTTTTCTTGGTTCTGTGAAAATTTTACAAATATGAAACCTACCTGGATTAAAAATGTATAATAGGAAAAGCAATCTTATTTGTAGTTGGCATCCTGGGAACAGTTTTACAGGCATCTACTCTATCATTGGAGTCTGTGACAATGCTTTTTGGGCCACAGGGGGATTTTTTGTTGCAATACCACACATGGCCACTGGGAAGAAGGATCAGGATCATTATAACTTAACTTCAAGCTCTTATTTCGTTGGAAAATTTCTTCAAGAGGACAAAGCAGCCGAGGAGTCTGTTAATTTGGTGTTAAAGTACATTTACTCACATGTTGTTGCACTTTTTGCATGAGCAACTGCCGTTTTGTCACCGGAGTAGGTTTTCTTGCTCACAGTGGAAGTTGTGAGCGACAGGGGTGGCAGCTGATGGAGGGCAAAGGCAGGGCCTGGTGGAAGGTGAAAGGGGACATTAACGGTATAGTGGTGCATCAATGGATCACACTCAGCAGCCAAATGAGGCTTGGGAGCATGCATGAGATGAGGGTTACGCTATGTGTGGCTTCATCTGAGGTGTGATTTAAAGGGTGTTGTAACTCAAAACTGCCATGTTATGTGTTTCTCACACTCTGCTGTTTCTCCCTTTTTCACTTTCTTCTCACTCTCTCCCCTTTTTACATTTAATCTCTCTCTGCCTCTCTTGCCTACAAATGTTTTCCTGTCCACTGCGTTTTTACCTTCTTTCATTCCTTCAATCCTTATTTTGTTCTTTCTCTGCAACTCTCTGCTGTCCTGTCTTTTTACCCACAACATCTTTCCTTCATCTCCCTCATTCTCACCTCTACCTTGTCCAGGCTCAGCTGTGTGAAGCAGAGGAATCTGCTAAAGGAGCACAGGAGGAGCTGGAGAAGGAGAAATGCATTCAGAAAGAAATCACTCTCAAACTTACACAGGTCAGTTTGCAACATTTGGTACAGTCAAGACACGCAAACCAATAAACTAAACTTCTAAATAAAATGCCCTCAAACTCACAGTGACACAGTGAAACATCACTTTATACAGAAGAACTCTTATTCTTCAGTCAAACTACATATACTTGATGGCATATGGTTATTTGTTCTTGTTTTGTAGAGTCAATGCTGTACCTTATCCTGGTCTTGAAATATCTTTAATTATACTGTTAAACATAAGGTCTTTATACAGTTAAATAAAGCATTTTAAGTCCTAGATGTGCTTTTGGGAGTCTGATGAGTGTTTTTTTTTGTTTGTTTGTTTGTTGCTTTTGGTATATCCCATTCTCAATATTCTGATTGGATCTACCATTTTTTATATAGTAAAAGGTTTGAAAAGTACAGTGGTCCCTAGAGACGAAGAACATACAAAAGTAAAAGTGCATGAAAAATGAAAATGCGCTGAAAATGCAAAGGCATAAACAAAAGTCAAAGCACATGCAAAAACAAAATGCCACACCAGAAGTGCCCCAGGACACAAGGGGGAGCTCAACTTGGCAGCAACAGTCTGTGTTCTCGTCAGACTTGGTGTTTTACAGCACTCTATTTAACAGCATTGGTTTTAGGTTATGAATGGGCTACTGGTGACTTATTTCTTCAATTTCTTGCATTGTGAACACATGGTTAGATTATTTTAACATATAAATATTTAAGATGGGACACACTAACAGTCCTGTTTTATTGATGTACTTGTATTAGAAGCAAACAAACATTCAGCATATAAATAGTTTGGACCGAAGGCCCTGTCTCAAACTATTTCTTCTCCTCTCAGCTCCAGGAAGAGCACCAAAAGGCTTTGCTCCGTCGGGACTTCCAGCTGCAGAGTTTGGACCTCCAGACTAGGCTGCAGCAGAAGTTATGGAGCCAGGAGAGGACTCTGCTAGTCCAGGAGTCTCAGCACCTCAAACAGGCCCTGTTACTGCTCAGTCTCAAGCTACGCTGCTTCCTCAAACAGTGGAGGCTGGGCTGCAAGAAGGACACAGAATGGAAAGACATCTTAGAGGTATGAGGGCGTAGAAAAGAAAATGGCTCACCCTCATGCTTTGCTTTTGTTGGAGCTGACAGCTGAGTGTCGACACTGCTTGACATACTCTACGTCCTTATTTTGACCTGGAATAAGTATTTATTTATTTTGAAGCAAGGTTGTGTATTTGAAGTTTGGTTTAAGTAACAACTTTAAAATATATCTCCATTTGTCTAGAAAAGTGGAATAATGTGAGATGTCAGCTAATGTGCATTTTTTAGAAAATCTGTTTTGCATTTGACCAAATTTTTTTGTATGGAAAAACAAAATCATGAAATTGGCTCACCGCCAAGTGCATTGCATATTGGATAATACTGAATATTATTGGAGGCTGAGGTAAGTGATTGACGGGTGATCTTGCTCTGTGCTTTGTTCTTTAGATGAACAGCCTGAAGGATCTCTACCTGCTGCTAGAGGAGGAGAACCTGACGAGCTCCGCTCACCAGACTGACAGGTCTGCTGCAGACGAACAACCACTCAGCCCAACTATTAAGGTAGGGAGAGTGAGACACACAAGCACAGACATACAAAGAGACTCACAGACCCGTACGCTCACGTCATTCTCTGTAGTCGAGCGCCGTGAGCAGTACCTTGGCAGACCTGAAGGTGGTGCTGCAAGATCTGAGTGGAGAGCTGCGACAAGAGAGACAAGGCTCCCAGGAACTCACCCAGCAGTTTGCAAAGGCCAAGGCATCATGGGAAGTGGAAAGGACAGAGCTGAAGAGTGTCATCACACAGGTAGGCAGGAGAGGAAGAACTGCTGTAAATTTATTTTAGCTCTTTTTTTTTTTTAAAGAAGTAGTGAAACAATGTACATTACTTAAAATCAGTTAACTTCCATTTTTATGCTATTCTGCATAATCAAGCCACGTTCTTTTCTTCAGTGTGCAGTGCAGTCCAATAAGAGAAACAAAAATAAAAGTGCCTAGTTTTATTTGTAGAGAAATTCTGGAGCAACATGGATTCAGATACAAAATGCATACATACGTTTGTGCCAAATTTGAATGAATACCCTCAAGTTCCTGAGAACCTAAAAACATATTTCCTCCGGCCGTGGTTGTTGCCATCCATATAAAAATGAATGTGGGAGCACATTGTCCATTGGAACTGAAAAAGCTGAAAAGTTTGCTAAAGTTACAGCTACCAAGTTAAAATTAAGTGTTTGCTCCTTGCGTGCACATAACTGGACAGTTAAAGTACATTTTGTAGGCAACAGACAGCCAAAAAGACCAAAGTGGTCAATATTCATTTAGACAAGAGTTTTTTAAATCTGATGCCATCCTAGGTGTCACTTTATCCTTTTCAATCTGTCAAGTGGTTTATTTGTCCATCCGAGCCTCCTGTTCTCTGTCTGTCTGTCTGTCTCGTCTGCAGCCATGAGTAATGGTCTTAATGTTTTCTCGTCCTCTGTCTGTCTCAAAGCGGTGATAATAGTATTAATTAACAGCCTCTGAGATACAGCACAGCCTGCATGTTGGAGCCTGGTAACTGAGACAAATAGAGATAAAACAAAGAAAGAGAAGAGAGAAGGCAAAGAGGCCTGATACAGCTGGGCAATTAAAAGTGCTTTTTCGTTTGCTCTTACTTTGCATCCCTGAGTGTTCTCAAATGTATATGACAAAAATGGAGTCTAAAGGTTTAAAATTGTTACAGCAATCTAAAGCATCGACATAAATGTCAGGGTTTGGTGTCATTTCTGCAGAATTACAAGACAAGAGCAGCTTTACTGGGAAATGGACAACTAGACAAATAATTACCCTAAATGTTTCTTTAACATTACTTAAAAAAAAAAGACCAATCATCACATTTCTTCATATAGTAGTAAATATAATGGTATAGCATGAGATGTGGGAAAAATGGGGGATGGGTGCAAAATAATAAACAAAAAAGAAAGCATAACACACAAACTAACACAAGAATACACACACACACACACACACACACACACACACACACGCACTGTGGAAGTCATTAATCATCATCATGATCAGAGAGATTCTGTGCTGTTCTGTTGTGGCGCAGGATCATTTGTCTTCTGACTGCTTTGGCAGCTCCCTCGGAAGCCAGCAAGAGACGAGAGTCAGCGTTACAAACTGATATGATGCTCGTTTTTTCCTAAATGTGAGGTAGCTGCAGGTTTTTATGAGATTAAATTTATGGACAACGTTTTGTTGCTTCATCAGTGATTGAATCACCCAGCTGTGATTTGCTTTAGGCAAAACCAGTTACACATGTCGTCTGTGTGGAGAAGCCTGAATAGCATCACTGGCTATAGGAAACCATCCCCCCCTGCTGTGGAGGACCGTCAACTAACAGATGACCTGAATGTGTTCTACTGCAGGTTTGACAAACAACTCTCCCCCCTCACCCTCCCCACCTCAGAGCCAGCAGCTGCTCCCCTGACAATCACCACCCTTCCCTCCAGCCCCCCCCCTCTAACGATCTGTGAAAAGGATGTGCGTGGCCTCTTTAAAAGCCCACCTGAAGGACACAATAGACCCCTTGCTAGTTAACATGGCATTGCTTTGCATCCTGCAACACCTCGACTCCCCAGGGTCCTATGCACTGGCCCTCTTTCTTGATTTCAGCTTGGCATTCAACACCATCATTCCGGACATCCTCCACTCCAAACTGACCCAGCTCACTGTGCCTGCCCCCACCTGTCAGTAGATTACAAGCTTTCTGACAGACAGGGAGCAGCAGGTGAGGCTGGGGAAAACCACATCCAGCACCCGGACAATAAGCACAGGCGCCCCCCCAGGGATGTGTGCTCTCCCCTCTGCTGTTTTCACTCTACACCAACGACTGCATCTTGAAGGACCCCTCTGTCAAGCTCCTAAGGTTTTCAGATGACACAACGGTCACTGGTCTCATCTGAGACGGTGACAAGTTCACCTACAGGCGAGAGGTTGAGCAGCTGGTCCTGTCGTGTAGCCGCAACAACCTGGAGCTGAACACGCTCAAAACAGTGGAGATGACAGGGAACTTCAGGAAGAACCTACCTTACCCCCCCTCACCATACTTGGCAGCACTGTATCAGCAGTAAAGTCCTACAAGTTCCTGGGCTCCACTATCTCCCAGGACCTGAAGTGGGCATCCAACATCAGGACCATCATCAAGAAGGCACAGCAGAGGATGTACTTCCTGCGCCAGCTCAGGAAGTTCGACCTGCCCCAGGAGCTGCTGATACAGTTCTATAGAGGAATCATCGAGTCTGTTCTCTGCACCTCCATCACTGTCTGGTTTGGCTCAGCAACCAAACAGGACAAGTACAAACTTCAGCGGACAGTCAGGACTGCAGAAAAGGTCATTGGTGTGAGCCTGCCCTCCATGGAGGACCTGTACACCTCACAGGTCAAAAGGAGGGCGGAGAGGATCACTGCAGACCCCTCACACTTGGGACATAATCTGTTCAAACTCCTCCCCTCTGGATGGCGTTACAGGTAACTGTGCACCAAGACAACCAGGCACGAGGACAGTTTTCTTCCCCGGGGCCATCACTCTGATGAACACGACAGTATGACTGCACAATAACCCTCAGTGCAATACCTGTAAATATACATTGTACAGGTTATACAGATCCATACAGGTCTCTATTTTTAAGTACTCTATTTGTATTCCTATTTATCTCATTTCAATGAGCATTCCTTTGTCTTTCTGCAATGTTTACTGCCTGTTTATTTTGCATTGTTTGTTGCTCGTTAATACTTATTTTGTTATATTACACAACCATATGCTGGTTTACTGTTTACTTGCCCCTTGCATGCGGATATGTACATACACACTGAGAGTCTATGTTCCAGAGTCAAATTCCTCGTGTGTCCGACACACCTGGCCAATAAAGCTGATTCTGATTCTGAGCTGTGCAAGCATGCTAGAAATCCAAGCACAGACAAATGTGAGTTTTAGCTTTTTACTATTATAGTAAAACATGTTTGACCATGTTGCACTCTATCACACATTTTTACCACCCTTTAATGCCTCTGTTCTTTTCTCCGCCTTGTAAACTACCCTACTAGAGTGGGTGTTTTACTATGGCCTAGATACAGACTGTAAAGTGTGCCTTCAGTTTGCCCTGGTGGTGGTGTGTGTGTGCATGTAGATATTCACCAGCCAATCACATCAGTGCCAAGGTATCCTGTCAGCATGCACTGACTCCAGCTGTTGCTTTGTTGAACAGATCTGTTTAAGTCCAAACACTCTCTTGTCAAACAGCTTGACAAGAAATCATCTTCAGTGTTCAAGCCTAATAAACAAATACATCAGTGAAGCAGAAACAATATCCAGAGCCCTGAAAGTGTGCAGTACTGTACAACACTGCCTCCTTTTGTTCCCCTAATCAGTCATCTGCTGACTGTAGGACATGTTGGGAACACCTGCTGTCTTCGTGATGACACAGACTGAGCAGCTGGAAACTCAGATTGCTCATTCATCACATCTGTTAAAAAACCTAAATGACTAGGTCATTTGTCAGTATTTTTTCCTCCCCTGAAACCACCTCTGTGACTGTCCAGAAAATAATTTTAATGTGTTTTTTTCTGCCACCTCTGGGATTAAGGTTAAATTTAAGCTTAAATAAAGTTAAGAAATTTCTTGCCAAGCGTTAGATGAGAGGATTGACACCCCTCCCCTGACATGTGCTAAATATGAACTTAGAGCTGTGAGACAGTTACTTTAGTTTCACTTAGCATGAAGACTTGAAGTAGGGGGTGGAAAATAAAAATTAACCAGTTTCATATTTAGCATGGACAGCTGTATCTGCCTTTTCATTCTCAATCCACAACAAGATAGAATGTACTCTAAGCATAGTTTCCTAATGTGTCAGACTGTTCCTTTAAAACTAATTTGCCTAATTTCTTTTCAGCTGCCACAGAATCTAGTGAAACTCAAATCAAATTGACACCATAAGCCGCTCCTAACCACTCTTTGCCCCTCTCATCATGTGCTGTTTCCTAGTGATTGGTGAACTACAGATGCCCGGTTGTGACAAACTGTACAAAATGCAGCTTCCAGACCGAAGCTAGAGTTAGCTGGCTAACAGCACAAACTACACATTATCTAAATAATTAGCAGATTAATCAGTAATGAAAATAATAATTGCAGACCTAGATTACCAAACAAAGCTATCATTTCTCTGTTGTGAATAGTTTCCAGTATAATGAACGGTGTTAAATGTATGGCTACTTTAAAAGGCTATTGCTGTAATAACTTCTTCACTTTAGCTAGTAAACAGTTAACCATGATGCAGCAACACTAGATTAGGGATATTTTTCTTTACACATACAGTAGTAGAAGACTTTAATAGTTTCTGACATAAAATAGAGAGATATAGGTTACATGTGATAAAGAAAATCAGTTTCACTTATATCATGCAACAGTTATTTATATCATATTTAACATCTGTATGTATTATATAATAACTAGGCTATGCTTTTAGTTTTAGCTGTGGCACACATCCCATCTCTCAGGACTGTTGTGTTTGCTAGTTGGCCTAGAGCTGAAGGCTGGCATGCAGTACAGATAATATTAACAGGTAACATCAGCTTTATTTGCTGCTGACAAATGGAAGGTCTGCCACAGCCAAAAAGCATGCTGCAATAATTAACAGAAAAATGCATTACTTAAAACTAGGAGCACTTCTTTTTAAAGGCACTCTATATATATATATATATATATCTGTGTGTGTGTGTGTGTGTGCCTGAAACCTGACTGTTTTTATGCTCAAACCTTGTTGCTATAAATTGTAATTTTGAGTGGAAATAGATTTTTCTGCTACTGTCTGATTCTATAAACAATATACTGTATTATACTGGCTCAAGGCCAGTCCTTCTCAGGCAGCTAATCAGCAAAATCAGACCCTGGTCCTTGTTGCTACTTGAGTGTTTAACCAGAGAATTTTCTGCTGTGAGATCAAAGTGTTTGAAATGTATAGGTGTTGGTATAATATAATTACAAAGGATCTAATGACAGTGAAATCTGTTTATTCCTCTTAACCTCTTACTCATCACCCCAAGACCCCTGTAGGTTTAATTAGTGTTTGTTGCCACAACGTTGTTAGTAGCTCTCGTCTTTGTGTTTCTACAAATACTTCTATTTTTATGAACAATTGGTTCTGTGTATTGTATATACTCAGGGAAAACAGCTGGAAAGCTACATGATGAAATTGTCAGAGGAGCAGGGAAGGATTGACTAGATGCTTGATTTGTAGTTAGTTTTTTTTTAGAATAGTAAGAAAGACTTCACTAAACAGGCAGGCAGTCTCCTGTTGGAATTATTTTAGACAAACTTAATTAATAAATCTGTGCTTTTACATTCAAGGTTTTACCTGAATAAACAGAAGTAGCTGAACTTGTTAAATGGTGACTGTTAAGTCATGAACCACACGTCTCTTATCCACCTGTAAACGGCAGTCATTCACTAAATTTGTCCACTCTAAAGCCTCGGCAGTAAACTCATTAGGCCAGAATCATCGTTGACTAGAAACCCTGTGTTGCCATAGGAGATGGAGGCTGGGCTGTGTGCACACATAACACTGTGATTGGCTGCCAGACAGTTCCATTAGCATGGTATATAGACGCCAGTGCCGCCGAGCCAGACAGAGAGGCAGAGATAGAGAGGATTGATGGGTCTGGGTTCTGTGTGTGTGTGTGTGTGTGTTGACAGGCCCAGTAGTGTCGGCTGTGTGACCCACAAGGCTCAGACAGAAGAAAAGGCAAAGGAGGGATGATAAAAATTTAAAACAATCTTGCATACACATGCTGTGACAGCAGGCTAGATATATGTAGAGTGAGAAAAGGGGTGAGAGAGCTTGAATCAGAGGGTGAGAAAGCTGTAGAAAGAGGGAGAAGGTGTGAGGTAGATGGAGAGAAGGGGTTAGAAGTACGGGGGGTTACCAGGGGGACGAGCAGAGAGGAAAGTCAAGCAGAGGAATAGAAAAAGAGGAAAAAAGAGATGCATAACTTTTAAGATTCAACGAGGAGCAGTAAGCAATCAAAATGAACGTATCTGTGCAGACTTTACTTCTTATATCTACACAGTATGTCTGTTTCTATGTGAGGGATTTAAAGCCCCTGCTCCCCCGTGAGGATGAAACATACAGTATAGGATTTAGGAAAAGATTGCTGTAATTAGGATTATGATCAGAACATTGTAAATACATTTGTAAGTTGGAGGCAGTGTGCATGTATTACTGTAAAACATTTTTGAGGGGGGCTTTTTCTGCCTTTAGTTAACTGGGTCACAGAAGTGGACAGAAGAAAATCTGTGTCAAAGGTTGGCAGCTGGGCTCGAACTTCCAACATCACACATATATGGGTGTATGGCTCACCGCACCGTAACCATTCGGCTATGAGGGTGCCCTTTTATTGTAATTTTGTTATTCACTGTGGTCCCCTTTGCCTTCACCCTTACAGTTTGAGACCAAGGCAGGAAAAGCTGCAGCAGCCATGTCTTCCACTGATGTACTGGATCATCCAGACCTGAAGGCGGCGCTAAAGAAGGAGCGTGAAGAACACCAGCACCTCCTGGCTGAGTCCTACGCAGCTGTAATGGACTTAACTAAACAGGTAATTACTGTATATCTATATCAAGTTGGGCTGGGAGACGACTGGCAAAGATGCTCTTTACATGCACAGAGAAACATTTTTGCAAGGTGTAAAAGCCTGGATGCTTTATCTACTTAATGAACCTTTGTGGAGGCATATTTCTAAATGTGATAGCAGAAACAAGCTCAGGGCTTGATCTTAGAGGGGCTGATGTTCAATTCCAAGTTGTTTGTTGCATCAAGAGTTATGGTTTACTGTACATCATTGTGGATTTTTTTCATAAAACCTCTTGTGGACTGCTTCTGCATCCATCTTTTCTCTTTCTCCTCTGATGTTGGCCTCTTCATGTCTCCCCACTGGGACTGTCTTGTGGACCAATCAGCTTCAGATTGGAGAGAGGAACTGGGGCAGAGAGAAGCTGGAGCTGCTGGAGAGGTTCAGTCAGGAGAGAGCTCAGTGGGAGCAGAGACTGAGAGAGGCCACTGTACAACAGGGGAAGGTATGAAGGGCTGTGGCTGTTTGAGTGTGAGTGTGAGAGAGAGAAGTCAAAGATAGAGATAAGGAGTGAGTGCATCTTGGGACGATGGAACTTGAGATTAGAAGTTATAGGTACATCAAGTCATTGGATCAGATGTGTCTTTCCTGGTACACTTTTACCAGTTATATTCAGAGGTGTTTCTATTTGTTTTGTCCCCAGCTACATACATGAGAGGGTCAGAGTATTAGGAACACCTCTGAATATAACGTAGTCCAGTACAGCACCACCTCAATAATAAAAATATAATAAAATTTTTACATTTATGACAATTTCACCAAAAACATTTTGGACTTCATAAACACAAATGTTAAGGTGGAAGTGTGGAATTGAAGTGCATACAGTTATACATGTGTGCCTAATAAAGTGGCCGATGAGTGTATTTGTGGAGGAAAAAAAAAAAGAGAAAAATATCTTCGTCATCAGGATGGGGATAATGTGACTAAGAGAATTTTCCAGAGTTGTAAAATCCTGCCTTTCTAGTATTAGAAATTGTTGCAAGGTGTTTTGGTCTTCAGACTCATGAATCTTGTACTTAAACTTGACAAGATTATATTTCATCCTGTCACTGTTGTCTGCAGCAACACAGCCACTTGTGAGTTTTCAGTGCTGTGCTAATTTTAGTCTGAACACAACCTAAGAGCAAGACAGAAACTTTTTCCACTTGAGAACAAGCACATGCCATTTTTAAAATCTTGCCAAACAACTTTCATATGCTGGAAGACTATCTGACAGTGTTTTGCAAATTAGCAGCTCCAAAATAACACGCTCTCACTCTTTGATTCCGAGGGAGTAACGCCAAGTCAGACATTTACTGTGGAGGTTTTAGATTGTTGGAAGTTTCATCAAAGCGTTCCAGCACTGCATATGTCAAAACAGAAGAAAGTTTAAATTACACGTTGCCAGATGTTGTCTTTAGGGTTGTCTTTTCATCTCAAGATCATTTTGTTGATGTTGACAGTAACCACACAGCTGTTAATGCTATAGTGTTGGTAAGGCCCTGGTCTTACTGTGGTCATGCTGAAGTTGAATGTTAAGCGGTGCTCAGTGGGGAAATGCAGTCAGTCAAATCTGTAATCACTGCCAAGCTGCTGCAACATGTCAGTGGATGTCAAGGGATTGCATCAGTGTTTAAAGTGGCCATTAGTTATGGCTGTTTCCAGAAATACACAGACAGTAGGTCAGTGTTTCTCCAGCTTCTGTGCCTGCTTCCATTGAAGTTGTCAGTGTGAGGGCATCTTTGTCCTCCATTTCTCACCTTTTCTTTCCGCTCCCTCCTCTTCCTTCTTCCTATCTTTGTCTCCATTTAGTAGGATCTTGTCGCACTCCTTCCATTAAGTGGCTGTGCCCTGCACTGGAAACTTGCCAGGAAACCAAAACTTGTCACACTTTAATTCACTCTGTCTCAGTGTTTGAGTGTGTCTGTGTCCTGCTCTATCACCCACAAATCTTTTCCTCCTTCTGCTGTACTCATGTTTTACATTTCTTCAGGTGTTTGATTAGAGTGCCCCCATCAGGCCAGATAGTTTACAGGCTGCTTGAGTTAGGGAATTAGTTATCTATTATTATTATTATTTTAAATCATTCTAATTGTTATAGGCTCATCCCATAGCATTTATTTTGAAATGCATTATTCTAATTTAGAGCATCTTCATCTTTTCCATCTAGATCAGACACAGGACTGACTTACTGCCAAACTACAAAGCATGTGTTGGAAGAAAGGGAGAGAGAAATGTTAGCTGTAGCTTGTTTAAAATGTGTTTAGCAGTCTGTCAGCCACCACACAGGCAGCATGGTCTGCAGTTCAGTGAGTTGTAGGTGGAAATCTCACAATGCACATCTAAACATCATCTGCAGGTGTTCTTCCACTAATTCACTAACTCAAGCAGCCTGTAAACTATCTGGCCTGATGGGGGCACTCTAAACCAAACTTTGCACTTCCTTTTTTCAAAACAGCTCAAAAAGAATGTGTCCACATGGTGCAGGTCATTACAGTAAACGCTAATAAGATGTAAAAAGTACATTCACTGATTTTCTTTTCACTGACAGTCTGGGTCTTCTTTGTCCTCACAGCCTAAGTCATCTGGTACAGAGCCCTCTGCGGACACAGCCGTTGCTAATGGAACAGGTTCACCGAGGTAACTTAAAAATATTTAACTACTAGTTTGATATGAATCCTTAAAATGTGGAGAAATTAGAAAATTTCATAAACTGAGTTTATGGCTGTTTCTTCATTGTTTTAATTTGCAAAGTGTTTTAATAAGTGTGAATTTGTCATTCTGAAAATAGAGCATGACTTCTGTTTTTTATGAAAAGGACCAACTCCACATCAGAACTGGATGACCTAGATGTCAACGGAACAGCCAATCAGGAGGGGAAAATCCATTTTGAGGGCCCACCTCTACCGATTCATCCAGAGATGTGCGACCTCACCAGGAAGAACTGGACCTACCTTACCAATGAGGTTTAACTTATGGTTTTATACATTTACTATTGTAAAATGAGGAGTCAGTTTATACTATATTATCGTCTCTTTACTTTCAAATTATTGACTTTTTAAAAGCTAGTGAAACAAAAGCTGTCTTTATCTTAATGAAGACAGTAGGAATATGTGTAATCAGGTTATACTGCTTTTTGCTGCCCTAGACCCCAGAGGTTGGGGACACCTGCAAAACCTGGGATGGTCCCAGTGGCTCTTGCAGCAACCTAGTGCAATCACAGCTCAATCTGGAGTCTGTCCAGAGGAGCTACACTGCTCCGGACCGCACAGGCATCCGGATCTACTACAGCCCACCTGCTATACGACGCATGGAACACCTCAGAAGGAACCAGAAGGCCAAAGAGCCACTGCAGGCCCTGAACGGGAGCTCATCCCTGCGACTGAGTGCCTGGGACTCAAACACCGCTGCTGTTGAAATCCTTGATGTTCAGCAACAACCACCCCCATCATCATGTTCATCCTCGTACGAGCAGTGGCTGAGCTCACTGTCCAAGCAGCACAGGGAGCTGCTGGAGAGCAGAACTGGCTGCATCACTGGTTCAATCCCTAGTGTCAACAATGGCATCGGCAGCTCGGCTAACAACGTTGTCGATGGGATGACATCCTCATCACCCTTATACGGCTTAGAGATCGGGGAGATTTCAGCTAATTTGAGTGATGACATGAAGGAGATGACCAACTGCGTCCGACAGGCCATACGCTCTTCATCCCTGGAGAGGAAATCCAGCAAGGAACATGGAAATCAGGTATTTGATTTTGATCTTAAAAACAGCTGGATTTCCTAGTTGGCCTTTATGTAATTCTGTGATTTTCATAATCAAAAGAAGGCACTTGCTCTGTTGAACATATCGTTTTATTTAATTAAAACAGTAAGAGGTATGTGATGAAAGCTTACGCCTCTCCTCTGGACAGTTCCTTTTTTTTGGCAGCACCTTTTTTGGCTCATTTCAGCAGAGAATTTTTGAATTGTTAATTTGATTATATACAAGGGGCTTGAAGCCCAACAACCTTCCCATTAAAAAAAAATATATATATATTGCAATTCAAGGTGTGAAATTTTTATACCTTTCTCCATCTACTGATCTATTTTTTGAATCCTTAAGTGCTTGTTTTCTTTATTCAAAAGTGTTTTAATTCTTTACAAAGCTGATTTTCTGTAGGAATGTGTTAAATTGATGTAACTACACAAAAATAAAACATTCACATTGATGCGATGCAGACCATAGAAGCTAACATGAGTTAGCTACGCCTTAAAACAACAGTAGGTGATACTGTTGTTTTAAGGCACGTCATCTTATACAGAATCACCTCTCTCCTGTAGCACTGAACATCCCGTCACTTTCATTTTTATCTCCTAGATGGTCAGCATGTCCACCAGGTCCACGCAGACCGCTTCCCAATATGTCAGCGTCGGGCTTCAAACTGACAACCTTCCCAGCAGCAGGGGGCCGGGGTTACACTCCAAAGCCTGGTCTCCTCGTCCCTCGCCGACTACCACCTCCTCATTAGCCTCAGCCCGAACCCGGCAGATATCAACATCACTGGATAAAGTCCACAGCCGCATTGAGAGGCCATGTTGTTCACCCAAGTATGGATCACCCAAACTACAACGCAGAGTGTCTTCTGGTAAGTTGACTTTATTTTCCTAGCATTGGTGCAACATCAGAGGTTCGAGTCCAGCTGCGGACAATTGTTTCATGTCCACCTCTCAGTGGCAAAAGATATATATTGATAATATCAATAACCCAAAATATTTTAACCACTCACATGAAGCAAATGTTAATTATCTCGTAACTACTGCGTATTCTTTTTATCAACACGTTGGGTGTGGGAGAAATGGGCAGGTATAAAGACCTGAACAACTTTATCAAGGGCCAGATTGTTGAGACCAGAAGACTGGGTCAGAGCATGTCCAAAATGCAAAGGACCAGGGGTTGTTCCCAGTCAGCAGCAGGTAGTCCCTACAGACAATGGTCTGAAGAGGGACAAACCATGGGTAGCGACAGGGTGTTGGGGATGTACTGGAACAAGTCTGTTCTGCAGTGGCTCCACCTCACATGTGGCATCTTGGTGCCAGATATCACAGGACACCTTCAGGGGTCTTATACTGCCCCATGCCAAAGCTTTTACTGGTAGCTTATGCTATAATAGGGAACAGTGGTCATAATGTTTTTTTAAAGACTGAGAGATCCAGCGTTTGTCTTTAGGCTCCACTTCCAGGCTGGATGGGAGTTCCTCCTCCAGGGACCGCAGCCTCTGGAGCCTCCAACAGAGACCCATGGGTGGAGGCTCGGCCTGGGCTCGCTCCACCACCACCAGAGACAGCCCTGTGCTGAGCGGCCTCACTGATGGCCTCTCCAGTCTCTTCAGCGTGGTGGAACACTCTGGAAGCACGGAGTCACTCTGGAGAAGTGACGGAGGTAAGCTTTTTTTGATTGAAGATATTTTGAGCTGTAGCTAATATTTAAAGTTGGCATTCGAGAACTTCCAAAATCAGTGCCATTTGGTGTCAGACTGTTGTTCAGTTTTTAAAGTCACTGAAAAAAATTGTTGCTCCAAGAAAGTACAGGGACAAACTTGCAGTTTCAAGCTTTTGGTTTTATTTTGAAACCAGGTAGAGGTATCAAGGGGGAAAAAACCTAAGAAATACCAGGTGTACTAATTGATTGTTCAGCTGAATTAATGAGGCTGATGACGGCACAAGTCGAGACTGTAAGACTGAACACCAGTAAATTTTAATACCAAAGGCACTTAACATAACGTAAACAACCTCAGTTTTTTTAGAACCTGGGAAGATTAGCATCTTTGACTTCTACTTGGTGAATTAAATTACTGCTAGACAGCAGAAAGAGAACATAAACATCTGCCATCAGTGAAGAATTACCCAACTTGCTGTGATGCCCAAAGCCTGTATTCATGTTAATAAAATTTGCCTTGAGGATTCAATTATGCCTGTCAACTGCAGTGCAGTGAAAACACCCATGTAATACGGTACCCATCTTTGATTGCCGTTTACCATCAGGAGCCAGCCAGAGTGCCAGTCCAGCACGGCAGCCTCCTGCCGCAGGGAAACCTTCTGGGGCGGCAGTCTGTGGATCTGACCCCAGCTCTCAGCGGTATGGTGGTCTTGTCCAGGAGTTCTTCAGGAATGTCTGCAGCAACCGTGGCCAGGGAGGGGTCCCCTTACCAGGCGAGAGAGTGCAGAGAGACTCCCTGGGCAACCTCGGAAGTCTGGGTGTCCTTGGGGGTTTTGGTGGCATGGATGAGCCCAAGCCGGAGTGCATGTCAGCTGGGGTTGTTGGAGTGCTGGCAAGCTTGGGTGGAAGCAACGACAGTGTGACCAGGATTGTTAATAAGAGGTTTATGAGACAGACAGCTGGGGAAGAGATGGTCTGCATCATGGGAGGAGGGAAGGAAATGATGACCAGCGCTGGGGCTGCAGGAGCTGGGACAGAGGTGAGACCTTAAGAAATGCTTTTTTATTTCAAGCTTATAAAGGCCATACCGGTGATTTTGGTTGTGTTTGATCACAGCATTTGCAGATCACTGTCTGGGTTGTAGAAGTATAAATGTACTTTCCTACTCCTCCAGGCCATCACTGTACACTGTAGAGTTTGAACCACCTTGTTGGTTTTTGTACAGCAGACTCCTGAGACATACTGAAGCTATGTAACCCATCAACATGACAACACTTGGTAATGCACCGTACAGTAGATCAGATTAAATCTGTATGGCATTACCTGTGTCAATACTTTCATGCTATTACACTTAAATGCAGGTTTAGTGTTTACTATGATTAATAAAGCTGCAGACAGATGTGAAGACTAGCTGAAACCTACAAAGATGGGACAAGCCACACTTAGGATCAACATATTTTTAAGTCTTCGCAGTCAAGAGAAGCACATTGTGAAAAGCTCATCTAATAAGGAGACGACACTCCTGCCTGTAGCTGCTATTACTACAGTCATGTTGGCTAGGCAAAACAAATTTTAAGTTTCAAGGCTGCCTGGCCAGGGTGGCAAAAATATGCAATACAGTATTGTTCAAAATAATAGCAGTACAATGTGACTAACCAGAATAATCCAGGTTTTTAGTATATTTTTTATTGCTACATGGCAAACAAGTTACCAGTAGGTGCAGTAGATTCTCAGAAAGCAAACAAGACCCAGCATTCATGATATGCACGCTCTTAAGGCTGTGAAATTGGGCAATTAGTTGAAAGGGGTGTGTTCAAAAAAATAGCAGTGTCTGCCGTTGACTGTACAAACACAAAACTATGTTGTACAAACGTTTTTGTTTCTAGGATTTAGCAATCCTGTGAATCACTAAACTAATATTTAGTTGTATGACCACAGTTTGTTATAACTGCTTCACATCTGTGTGGCATGGAGTCAACCAACTTGTGGCACCTTTCAGCTGTTATTCCACTCCATGATTCTTTAACAACATTCCACAATTCATTTACATTTCTTGGTTTTGCTTCAGAAACAGCATTTTTGATATCACCCCACAAGTTCTCGATTGGATTAAGGTCCGGGGATTGGGCTGGCCACTCCATAACATTAATTTTGTTGGTTTGGAACCAAGACTTTGCTCGTTTACTAGTGTGTTTGGGGTCATTGTCTTGTTGAAACAACCATTTCAAGGGCATGTCCTCTTCAGCATAAGGCAACATGACCTCTTCAAGTATTTTGACATATGCAAACTGATCCATGATCCCTGGTATGCGATAAATAGGCCCAACACCATAGTAGGAGAAACATGCCCATATCATGATGCTTGCACCACCATGCTTCACTGTCTTCACTGTGTACTGTGGCTTGAATTCAGAGTTTGGGGGTCATCTCACAAACTGTCTGTGGCCCTTGGACCCAAAAAGAACAATTTTACTCTCATCAGTCCACAAAATGTTCCTCCATTTCTCTTTAGGCCAGTTGATGTGTTCTTTGGCAAATTGTAACCTCTTCTGCACGTGCCTTTTTTTTAACAGAGGGACTTTGCGGGGGATTCTTGAAAATAGATTAGCTTCACACAGACGTCTTCTAACTGTCACAGTACTTACAGGTAACTCCAGACTGTCTTTGATCATCCTGGAGCTGATCATTGGCTGGGCCTTTGCCATTCTGGTTATTCTTCGATCCATTTTGATGGTTGTCTTCCGTTTTCTTCCACGTCTCTCTGGTTTTGCTCTCCATTTTAAGGCATTGGAGATCATTTTAGCTGAACAGCCTATAATTTTTTGCACCTCTTTATAGGTTTTCCCCTCTCCAATCAACTTTTTAATCAAAGTACGCTGTTCTTCTGAACAATGTCTTGAACGACCCATTTTCCTCAGGCTTTCAAATGCATGTTCAACAAGTGCTGGCTTCATCCTTAAATAGGGGCCACCTGATTCACACCTGTTATTTCACAAAATTGATGACCTCACTGATTGAATGCCACACTGCTATTTTTTTAACACACCCCTTTCAACTAATTGCCCAATTGCACAGCCTTAAGAGCGTGCATATCATGAATGCTGGGTCTTGTTTGCTTTCTGAGAATCTACTGCACCTACTGGTAACTTGTTTGCCATGTAGCAATAAAAAATATACTAAAAACCTGGATTATTCTGGTTAGTCACATTGTACTGCCCTGTGACTGCGCTGCCCAGTCTTCCTGCTTTGCCAGACCATCAAGAGGAGCCACCCGCCATTTGCCTGGCCAGTGCAAGCACCGCCCACAAGAGCCTCCAGCAGCAACTGAGGAGAAGGGGGGGGACACCTGCTATGAGTGACGAAACTCCTACTGCCACATGCAATGCACACCTGCGCGCACACACATACTGATTATTCACTTTACACCACTGCCATGAACACAGTCCCTCATGTCTCTCACAACACTAAACGTATATACACACTGACAACCTGCCACGCAGGTGCACTGCCAACTGCGACACACACTGCAAGCAAACTGCACAAACTTTCCCACAAACCCACTGCCATATGCACACAAACACACACAGAACCAAGGCAATACTACCCTCATCTTGGACAAAGACGAGGACTGAATGCCAGTGACAGGGAGGACTGAAACTCCAATCCAGAAGCAGATCCAGCCATCACAAAACTACCAGCAGGACAGGAAAAAAGACACACACACTTAACAACAGCCATGTACTGAAAGTCTTACAGCTAAAACTGATGTCGCGACTGCTCCACCCTAACCTGACTTTACAGAGTAACAGATTTTAACTGGAAACCTTGATAACATCACCTTGATGTGCTGGGAAAAGTAATTATGCTGTTTTGATTGATCAGTACAATAACATTCCAGTGAGTGTCTCCATCATGAAAATGCTACATCTTCAGTCTAGTTTTCACCTTCTTTCATCAGCTTGCAAAAGGAAGAATTCAAGGACTGTTGAACTACATCTCCCAATATGACATGAACCCCACTGGTGGAGTTTGTTAGCTCTATAAATGAGACCTCAAAAAGCTCTCTGGTCTTCTTTAGATATTAACAGTCCACCATGCTCCCAAAAAGACTTTGACAACAAATATGGGGAAATGTTGTGTAGCTGTGTCTTCAGTTTGTATGTTTTGGTTTGAACCCGTTACAAGAGACAGAAATTGTCCGTCTTTCATTTGAGATAAACATTCATCATCAAACTATTTGATAACAACTTGGGATGTGCAGTGTTACAACACAATGTCCTGAAACACTTCACTCAATCTTACAGTTTGGGGAGCTTTTCTGCTCGATTGCAAATTAACCTAGAAGTCCAGTTGGAGATTTCTTGGCACTGGATAAAGATGCACTGATATCAGTTTTTCAGAGTGCCTAAACCACTAGGGTGCGGTCATGTTACAGCAGCCTAAACAAACTCATGAAACATTTTATTTCTCTCTGCTCCTTAGAATAAAAACTGAAAATCAAGTCCATCAGCACTGAGGTTTTACATTGTATGTGAGTTTTGAATTCTGATTCACAAACCTCAGAATTAACGCCCTACCTGTTGGCTTTATCAGTGCATCCCTACCCTCTATGCTTCATGGGATCTGATATGAACAGCAGGAAAGAAATGACGACGCTTTGTGCATCTGAACTCATCTACCATCAGTCACAACTTACTCCAAACTGTATCAACGTATTCCTTTTAATAGAAAAAACATTCCAACTTTTTCCTAGTTCTGAATGTGTGTGTACGGTTTGTATGTACAGTATGTCATTCATAGGGCTAGTAACTACTTCACTTTTACAGTACCTCCTTTCTCTCTCCCTCTCCTTTTCACTCGCTCAGTTGTCCTCATGTTTTAGTGCTACTTATAGCTAATGTATAAAGTCTATATGCATTTTGAAAATGTAGCATCCTAATTAAATATTGGTAGATAGACAAGCTAAGAGCTGTGGCTCTTCAGCCGCAGTCAGACAGCACTGAAAGTTTTTAACTTAAGACACAATTTCATGAATATTTTAATTTTTTGATATTTTCCAATACATTTGTTTTACTAAACTAAAAATATAGACCCTTTTTACTTAAGTGGACATGTTTAAGTGGATGTCTGCACACTTGGGACAAATATCTGCGAAGGAAGTGAAAGACTGAAAACTAAAAATTACTGTAAATGGAAAACAATCATTTTTATTACATCTTTTTCCTATTTATCTGTTTGCCATGTCATTCTCTTTGTTGATTGCATTGTACTCAGATCAGTTGATATTCAAAGTGCCTGTCAAATCGCCTATTAGTCAGCTCACACCAAAACTGGACTTCATATGAAAAACACAAATCCTACAGGCCTTTTTTTTAAAGATTGTTTTATGCACATAACTGGGATCAGGCTGTACTGAAACTACAGTAAAGTACTGTACCACAATGACTGAAGGGCAGAATGGTTTAGAGGTATAGTAAGATTAACTTTTTTTTTTATACTTCTGGAGAGTAAAATATTTTTGTTTAGTTTTGTTTATATGGATGTTTTTGCTGATATAGCCTGTTGTTTCTATTCTAATTTAGTTATCATGGTGCTACTGAGAGTAAAGTCTATTGTGGGCTTGCTGCCTTTAACAAGGCATCTCTCCATCTGGTCAGTCATCTATTTTAAATTATTTTTCCACTGTTAATGTATGAGAAATAGTAGAGCGTTTCTCCCTCTTTGCTCTCCATTCAGTGACTTGCAAGTTTAAAATGGAGCATTACAGTAACAGCGGATGTATTTAAATAACACACTTAGGAAAACCCACAGTCTAAATGCTGCTGTCCGTCTCCACCACAGCCCTCACCACTGCTGCAAAACCAACTACATGAAACCAGTCGGCGACTCAAAAGCTACTGGACTGATTGCCAGAGGCTGTCTGATTTTTGACCACAATTATACAACTGGTACAGTAGTTCTAGCCAAACAGTACGATTGTTTTAAGACCACACAAATCATAAAACCTCATTTAAAAAAATGCTTCCATGTGTCCCCCAAAACACAGCTAATAAAGCTGTATTCACATCCATTCCCTCCTATAATCCATATTTCCATTTTTTCAAATTTGTCGTTAGTTACAAAAATAGAAAAGGGGAAATGGCGAAAACAGATTTCTGTGGTGCCATTGGCACTGGCCCAGCTAAGAGAAACAGATTTCCAAGGATACCAAGACATGCTAACCTTTATTTATTCTCTTCAGTTTTAGTTAAAAACAAAACAAAAAAGCTCAGTTAAAATGAACAAAGTGGTAGCTCTCAAAAAACCAGCAAGTTAGCAAAAGCATCTATAATGACCTACATGACAGAGCGTCTTTTTCCTTACCTGGAAAATTGTAACAGTACTTTTGAGAAATTTTTGAGTATCATACACTTGCCACTCAAAGAGGTTACTCTAAAATGTTAGTTTCTTGTTTTGTCACAGCTGTCATGAGCAAAAATCATTTCATAGAAACTTTTCAAAGCATAACTCTGCTGCTCTTCTGCATGCTGATTAGGTATCCAGCAGTTACTGGATATATTTGCCAAATGTAATTAAACGTATTGCTAGTTTGACTCTGTCTTGGTTGCATGCAGCTACAGTACATACATGCAGTCAACCTTGAAAAACAACACGTTTTTCAGTGGATTACGCCTTTAAGTTCCTACTCAGGAGGTTCAGCACATTTTATCAAACTTTAGTTCACGTTTACATCAGTAACCACAGCAGATCAACATCCAGTCTGAGTGCACACTGTTGAAAAGTAACTATGAGCAGACCAGCACAGTGTAAACCTGTACAACAACCACTGGCATCCATGTTTCTTCTAGCCAAGACATTAAAAGAATCAAGAGTAGTAATGACACATTTCCTGTTTTAAACAAATACTAGCCACCAATGCTAGCTTATGTTCATGCAAAACAGTACATGTTGCCCCACAAGTTGGCGGCTCCCCTATCCATTATCTCTGTACAGTTAAAAACAAAATCATTATACAGTACAGCAAAGATAAGTGCTGTCTGTCAGAAGTCCTGTCTGCAGTAACCACACTACAAAAATGACTTAGTCGTCCGACAGTCTCTCCTGCTACACATCAGGATGAATAGTCCAGAGCTATAAAGGAAACAATCGTACCCCAACATTAGATTTGGTCCATCCTGTGGTTTTTTTTGATACACTGCAAAACCACAGAACCTTTCAAAATAAGCCATTAATGTTGGGTTCATTCTTAAACACTATCCATGCAACTGAAAACAAAAAGCCAATAAGCGGTTTGTACAATTTACTACATTTGTTTAACACTTTCAAAAACCCTACACCCTAAAAATAAAAACCTGAAACATCAAATTAGACTACACAGCACTGTAGAGATTTGGGCATCATGTAGTAAAAATATTATGCTATTTTGACCATTCACAATTTGAGTAAAAATAAACACATGGAACATAAATTGGGATTTAATACAGGTGCCTTCCTGACAGCGCCCAGTTCACTGACAGTGACAAAACAGGACAAAGTTAAGCAGATTCTGTTCTAGGTCATAAACCTCTTAATATACTCAGACATATCATTAAATAGCACAGAACAAAACTACTCATGTCTTTGATGTAATAATTATTAATCATCTGAAAATGTTTGATGCCTGTATTAGTCCTACTGTCAACGAGAAGGTCACATCAGTGCCTTTCCTCTGCAAAGATGTCCTGGTTTAATTAAAAATTTTATTTTTCTGCAAATATTTGACTACAACTAAAGACATACTCTGTGATGATGCTGATTTCCACATTAGCTACATGTGGAATTAAGATTAAATGTCTTAATTTGTTGTCTTGTGGTAGGTGTAGATTGATTTGTGTTTACATTGATCTTCAGTGGTTGCTCAATAGATCTTGCAAGCCAATATGGAATCTCAGTGTCAAGAGAAGAGTATGTGTAAGAAATGACTTTTGCTTCACTTTTGAGGGACCAGACCTCCAAATGGCTGCAAATTCAGACCAAGGTTATGTTGTGGTTAAATGTTTTTCTGCCAAGTTTAGCAAAGGCCTGTATTTTATAATAACACAACATATGAAGTTCAGGTTGTGGATGAAACTGCCGCTGTTGTCTGGCCACAGTACGTTCATGTCATTTGGAAGACGCACACATACAAAAAGAATAAGAAACTAATACTTTTAATTTTCTTATCTTTTTTTATTTTTTACTGCAACTCTATCTCACACCTTAATGCAACCTTGGACGTATTTTCTATTAAAAACCTGAAATGGCTCAGTCGGGGTAAGGCTCAAATCTCTTTCGGACTGATGTCACTGGTCAGTTTCCACCTGCGTGTCAGGTGTCACATTTGCTCCTCCCCCTCAGGTTAGAACTCCTAGGCACTGCAGCCAATGACAACAAGGCTTTACAAGTCACACACCATCACCAGCCAATGACGGATGCTTTCTTACGGGTTGCATGGCACAAACCATGAATCTCACTGTTCCCTACAAGTCTATAAGCTTGCCAGAAAGGTTACACAAATCTTTCCAGCCTTTTTTATGTGTTTCCACACCATTCCTATGATTACATCCTGGCAATATGTACATGATTTGTAGTTGTTCATAATCTTAGCCAAACTATTACCTTGCCTGTTTATTCGCATTATATAACAACCTATGCTTTTCTTCTTTTCTAATGTTTGATTCTTAAATAAAAGGAGAATGCAATGAAAGCAAACTAAAATGAGTACACAGAAAGGAAATGTAACCTGAAAAGAAAGGAAAGCTCTGTACTCTGTCCTTTTGTTTCTTTGAGAAAAGCTGAATGTCAACAGTTGACCTGAAACCAGGCTGCTGGGGAAATATGTAGCTCTCTCCCTTTGTAGACCACACTTGAGCATTTCCTCTGTACATAGGCACATTTTGAAAGTGGTTGAAAAACAGCAGCAAATGTTAAAGTAGTAAAATAAGAAAATATCCCAACCCCCTTTTAAAAAAATCCAACAGGATTTTTAAAACTGATTTTGCCAATTCTGTTTTGGCTGCTTTTGGCCTTTTTAAAAAAAATCCTGTTGGATTTTTAAAAGGGAGTTGGGATATCTTCTTTTTCCAACCAATGTAGCTTGTAAAACGAGATGTTACATTATAACTGCCTCCTGTTTGTCATAGAATTCACAAATAAATGTTTGCTGGAATTTAGCATTTTTTGTTTTCTCGTCATTTCTACTTACTTAGTCACTTTGTTTTTTTTTATTCTGTCCTTTTCTGTATTTCATTAGGAGGAGAATGACATTTAAGGAAAGAGTCATATTGTTTATCTGTAGGATATTAAGAACTATTATTTTGTCCACCCCATTTATATCAGTGGGGCTAAGCTAAATAACAGAAACCTTTCTTTGCAGTACAATTCAACACTACCACAAACTACAGCCTCAAAAAGATCACAGTTGAATCAACACCTCTCTGATACAGACTGAACACAAACTGAACTTTGACTTTCATGGAGGAGGATTTGTTGCAGGACCATTGTATTAGTCCAACTCAGTTTTACCTCGTTGTACTGTGCCCAATAAACTGTTAACAGAGTGTAAATGTGGTGACAATAAAATGGTGCTATTCACATGCCTCAGCTGTCCCAGCGCTTATTATCTCTGGGAATACAGGAAACTTAGGAAGACTTCTAACCCATTAGGTAGAGTGGACAGATGGTGCTGTGTTGAGATTCAGCATTTGGAAAGCACACCACATGAAAGCTAGAAATTTACAAAGAAATTAGGCAGCAGTTAACTTCCTGTTTCCTGTAAAGCAGCCAAAACAGACTCGGCAAAATCAGTGTTTGATTATCAGTTTCTATGAATCTACATTCACCTCATCTTTTTTCATCCTGAATTCCCAAAAGGCACCGAGTGTGCAAATCTAAGTAGGTAGGGGGGAAGCGAGAAATAAAGTGAATACTGAATTGAATGAGAGGACAGTCAAGGGCAGAGAATATACTGTACAAAGTTAAAATAAGGAAAAATAAAAGCCTCAAGGAAGTGAAGGCATAAGTGCAACAGTCCAGCAGTGTTTGACACCTATTGTATATCTTTTTTTTGTACAACAAATACAGAGGAGAGTGAGTGAAGATGGCCTCTGCCATCTGCCGGTGGCTTTGGAGGAGGGGAGATGGGAAAGGAAAATGAACCTGAACAAGAGAAGAACAAGCACTTCCCTGCAGAAAGTTAACAGAAGAACAAAACCGTGCCAGCCACTCTGTGAGGCAGGCACAGTGGTGAGATGCCCGTGGTGAAAGAAGTACTCATTGTTTACTTTAAATACCACAGTGTAAAAATACTGTTACAAGTAAAAGTCGTGCATTCAAAATGGTACTTAACTAAAAGTACAAAAGTATTAGCATAAAATATACTTCAAGTATTAAAAGTACTTACGGTATTATGCAGAATGGCACAGCTCACTTTATATATTATAGGACTATAATTTTGATGTATTGTGCACATGACATTTAATGTTACAGCTGGGAAAGGTAGAGTTGATTATCTCACATGCTTTTACTTTGAAGTACCTCAAATCTGTACTTAAGTACAGTGATTGTAATGTGTTACTTTCCACATCTGAAGAATGCCAACATGCACAATGTTAACATGATTTGTAGCAGGTATACAGTGGATTCAGAAAAGTATCCAGGCTGTTTTGGCTTTTTGCATAATTTAATTAGTTGTACATTTAAATTGATTTGCCCATCAATCTACATTTGATAACACAGGCACTGCTCACCACCTGGCTAATATCATGCTTACAATGAAGCACGAAGGTGTTAGCATCATGCTAAGGATGAATGCAGCCAATACGAAGAGGCTCTTGAAGAAAACCTGCTCCAGAGTGAAGTGCAAGCAACCTGAGATTGGGGCGACACACACAGCCAAGACAACACTGGAGTGGCTTTGTAAAAAGACTCACTGTCCTCAAGTGACCCTACCAAAGCCTATACTTAAACCCCATCTGTGCAGAGATCCGGAAGACCAGGAGTAACTGCTTGAATCCATGTATACTTTTAAGAGACCAGAAGACTCAGAGTTGTAATTGCTTCTAAAAAGTAATTAAAGGTCTGAATACATATTTCAGTTTTTGATTTTTCATAAATACGTAAAGGCCCTGCGATGGATTGGCGACCTGTCCAGGGTGTACCCTGCCTTCGCCCGATTGCTGGCCGGGATTGGCTCCGGCCCCCCCGTGGCCCCGCAAGGGACTAAACGGTAGAAAATGAATGAATAAATACGTAAAGTCTTTAAAACATGCTTTAACTTGGTCAGTATTGGTTATTGACTAAACAAAATTGACATTTATGCCCATTTAAAATTAAACATGTAAAATGCAAAGGGGTTTGAAGACTTTGTAAAGCCACTGCATTTACTCGGTGATGGTGATACAGCATATGGAAAGCGAAGGCATCATCAAAGCTATTACAATTCATCCTGAGAAGGGCACATCTGCACAAAATTTCATACCAATCCATCCAGCAGTTTTCAAGACATTTCACTCCCAACAAAATATGGATCAGACAGAACTGCCAGCCTCCAGAAAGGAGCTGCGTGTGGTTTGACGCTACAGGGACCTGTGAGATGCTTACATAAAAAATAGAGGGCATCATTGCAAAGCAGCTTTTATAAGGTTGCTGCCTCAGTAGCCTCCAACAGTATGTGTAACAGGTTATGAGTGTTTCTGGGGCATTCGCAGTCTGTTAAAACTTCACCAAACAGGCAATATACTGCGATTCAAACTTGAGCATTTTCTCTCTTTCACTTACCTCCCTACTCTTCTACTTCAACATGTCTTATGGGAGTAAAAAAAAAAAAAAAGCTGGAGGATGCCTGCAGTCCCAACAGACAGATGGGACGTAACCTCACCGTAGCAACACTGGAAAACAAAGGTACTTACTTCCTGTTTTGACTGAACAAAAACACCAGAAAAGGAATGATAGCACAAGCAAGATGTTCAAGGGTTTTTTTGTGACTAATTTGCCCTGGGAATAGTTTTTTTTTCTCATCCAAAAAAAGAATATTTCATTCTTTTCATTTGTGATTTTATAGCCTTGTTTTTTTAAGCCTGAACCTATATAATTATACTCATTCTGCAAATAGTATTTATAGCAAATGGTGGAAGAAGTACTCAGATCTTTTACTTAAGTAAAGATCAGCAATATACAGTGTAAAAATATTGTTACAAGTTCTGCATGCAAAATTATTAGCATCAAAACTAAGTACTAAAAGTATTCATTTTGCAGAATGGCACATTTCACATTCCTGTACATTATTGTATTATAATTACTGATGCATTGTTGTGTACATCACATTCAATGTTGCAGCTGGTAAAGGGAGAGCATGTTTTACCTAACCTGTATATATTTAATTTGAATTACTGCTGGGTAACCTGTCAATTTTCCACCATAGTTCAATGAGGTCTTATAATTATACTGTATTTTTTGTATTAAATCTGGTTATGAAGAGTAACTAAAGTTATAAAATTAATGTTGTGGAGTAAAAAGTACCATCTTTGCCTATAAAATATAAAGAATTCCAAGTATGAAGTAACAAAATGAAAATATTAAAATACAGCTACCTTGTTACCATCACACAGCCACACAGGAACACAGGTACAAACACAGGATACAGTCAACGAGGCTCCAGGAATCAAAACTGAATGCAAGTAGAGCAACTCTTCACTTCTCAAACCACACAGACTCACTCTCACATACAAGGAAGTGTTTGCCAACAAATCTGGTGAGGGTCAAACCTACTCTGAGAGGAAGGGAGTGACTTTCCTTCACAAAACACAACATGGTCAAGTCATAAAAACCACAAACACAGGAACAACAATACCAACAAAACAGTACAAGTAACCATGGATTTCTGCAGCAATTAGGAAAACATATCCAATGTCAATTCCTCTGCAGCAGCCAGAGACACGCTGACCTTTTTCTCTCATTAGATAATCAAATCAAACTCAGACTACAAAAAATACACATCAAAGCCCTTATAGGCCGCACTGATAGCACATTTTCGATACACGGTAGTCAGTGACTGTAGGAAAATTAAAAAACACAGAAACTTTAAGTGACAATTGTTTACCTGTCCAAATAAAACATTTTTCAGCAACAGTCAATTTTTTAACTGGTCAAGTGACTCAAGATTTGCATTCACTAGCTACACACATTATATCATGCTAAGTCAGTGCTGCGTAATGGTGCGGAAATGAATGAATCTAAAAAGCTCCAGGTTAAACATATGGTTTGACCTGCTGTTAAAGTGCAGAGTGACAGTTGTGTTCATTTCAAGGGTATGTATCAGGAAGGGTTTATAGTGAACTTCTTGTAAAATCTTGTAATTGTGACATCCAGGAAATTAATGCTGTCAGTTTAACATACAGTACCAGCTTTGATCACTGAGGAATATTTGCTAACAGAACAAATTTATCTCGGTAAGAACTCAAAATATCACCACCAATGTCAATCAAATATACTGCAGCCCAAATTCCTCTCTCTCTATCCTGCTCTTCTTAAACACAAATTTTCTCTTATATAAACCTATTATTCCTTATAAGAGTTTTGCATGACTGAAATGAACCATATACAGATGAAACCATTTGTGAACAGCTGATAACTTCATGAGAAGTTTTAAAAGGATGCACCAACAACTTGGAATATATCTTACAGGAGGAAAAGTACAAACCACAAATATCGTTCATTTTCATTATAAATAAAAGCTTGCATTCATTTCAATTTTACAGACCCACAGCCTCTAAATCAAATAATGCTATGTTGGACTACATGTGTTTAGGGTAAACGACAAAAACCTCCTTGTGGAAATATTAGTTTGCTGACCTTTACATGCAGCTCAGCAAGAAATATCATCAAAAGTTATGCTCGGCAAGTCAGATGCAGTGAACCCTTACAACACAGGATTACAATGCCTACATGAATCACTGATCTATGAGAACACTGACTGATAGGGTCAAGTCCACTTCTGGTGGCATGGCACCCTCTTGTGGTTGAAATACAAATTACAGTTTTCCAAATATGGCACGTTAGGGATATTTGTATTTAAATAAAATAATAAAAAAACAACTCCTCACACCTAAAAGATAGCACAATCATGGGTGTTCAAAAGAAGAGCCCAAAACTCACACACCATACATTTTCATGAGCATTTTTTTTTCTTACCTTGCACAGGTGTGACATGCGAGGGAAAAGCGTCCGACATTTTTAAACAGGTCACTCAACCTAAATGAACTGCGGCTTATCAAGAGCTACAAATAAAACACACCCACAGTGTCGAGATGCTCCAGCTGGACATCCGTTTAAAATCTATAAAATATTTTGGGGCCTCCACTTGCAAACGCTTTGGTGTCAAAAAATGTTCTGCAACTCAGCTCATTACTCCTTCCATCTCCCACCTGTTCCCATCATGCACCTGTCGGCAGGTACAAGGATCAAGTGACGATGACGTAGCCTCCATGACAGGAAGATAGTACTAGTGCATTTTATCTAAATGGCCAAAATACTGCTTTCAG